TTTATTTAATGTACAGGAACTCTGTCCCTCAGAGCGCAGAGAACATAAAAATCTGACATCAGTACCAGAGCGTGGGTTTATATAGAGGTATTTCATGGTGTTTCTTACTCAACCTTTGTCTCAATCTTGATTTCATGGGATATTATCTGTGAGGTGGCATGTGAAGACCTCCATGACGGTAATGAGACCAGGGAGAAGAAAGAGTTGTAGTTAGGGAATATACCTAGCATGTTCTTCCCATAAACCATCATCTGGGGTTATTCACACTGCCTGTGGTGTAATATCTGCATCTGCATTTCTGAGTCCCACCTCAGAAATATAGCTGCCTTTGTGCACTGAGAGGCATGAAGACCAAATTGGTTTTAAAGATGTCCTAGGCAATGTGGGCAATTAACCTCTAGGGAGTACAGATGAGGAAGGATATGGCTTTATATAGCGGAGATGCTGAGGATAATAGAGGTTAGGGAATTTAGAACATCTGTCCTCTGAGAAGGAGCATCTGGTTCTCATGGGACTATCCTTTAAGAATGGAATGACTGCTTTTCTAAATTAAATAATTCTCGCTCACACTCTATTTTCTTTATTTCCTTTTTCTTTTTCTGACATCTTTTGACTACCTCATGACCTCAAAGAGTAAGAACCAGTCTGTGTTCTCTATGTTCATAGCTTCTCTAATGATTTCAGATATAAATTTTATGTAGTTAAGACATTTCATTAGATCAAAAATAAATTTAAAACTCATAAAACTTTAGGATGAGTCAATGGAGAAATACATTTTTAATGAGATATTAGGCTGTACTGAACATTTTGTTTGAAGGGACTTATGCTAACAAATTTGAAGTTGGTACCTCTAACAACTATCCAAATGTCTTTAATTACAGACTCTGGGATTTTTAGTACTTGAAGAGGTCACAATGTATGCAGAGCAAAATACTACTTCACACATGAAGTAACTGAAAGTAGATAACAGGGACTTTCTCAAGGTTGCACAGAAGTCACTGTTAGATCCAGGATGGCCCTCTTCTTATCCCTAGTCACAGGTCCATATCACTTTCATGCTTTCCATTAGGGACTCTTGTTTGTTTTTAGAGGACAGAAGGCTGATGATCTAAGAAACAGTAACAACAATGAATGGCTTTCTGAGTCTTCAATTATTTCTTAGCTTTCTCTATGTAACATTGATTAGATGGATGTGCCCAGGGCCACTCTCCCTGGGAATGGGACCTAAATGACAGCACAGAACAACCATATGCTGTCCGTATCTGCTGTTTTTCTCTTGTATATCTTAGTAGTTTTTACACAACAGACTCTGCATTTTAATTTTGCCCTGAGACTTACAAGTTGTTTACCCCAGAGGCAGTTCTTCACACACAAGTAGAAGTGAGGTCCATATCAGAAGTCATCATTTCCTGGGAGGATGATTTTGAGTCATTAATTGCCAAGCCTTCCTGCAAAGCCAAAATTTTTATTCTCAATGGGGAAAAATTCTCAAATCATTTCTCTTATTTCTAGGTATCTTTAGGGAGTAGGGAAGAGATTGGAACTTGTGAAAGGCTCCCACCTATATTCACATTCACTTGCATTTCGCCATGCAGCAACCTTATCTTTCCAGTCACAACAATAACATGAATTATGAAGAGATATTTTGGGGTTAATTCAGGATTTTAAGCAAAGTAAAAAATAGTAAAAGGACATAATATTGATACAGTATTTTGATACTTTATAGTTACTAATATATTAGGATTTCTTGTCTAAGCATTCATTTTCACTAGGCAGGGATTGGTGAGGGAAAGTAATTACTCCATAATTCTTTAAGACACACAGCAGGACATAGTGCAAGATGAAAATGTGGGATGTCCTGTTTTAAAACCATGAGT